CCATACAGAGAGGATATGTGGGCGGGTTTGAATATCCGCGAGATGGACGACATCTCTGTGGGGGAGCTGGTCCAGAGTGGTCGTTGCAGGGCACAGGGACATCTTCGAGAGTGAAGGGGCGTTACAGATAGCAGGACAAGGTAGAGAGGGCTTCCAGAGCTGCAGCACAAAGGGTTTTGCCTTGGCGATTATATGTACAGTCGCGCTTGCCGCATTTTGTGGCGAAGTTTGCCTGCTCGCATCGCCCCGCGGAAAATTAGGACAGACAACGGCGTCAGGCACAATGTTCTGGCATTCAGAGGTTGCTGGCATGATGAGACCTTCCAACTCCGTGCCTGATAGACGATACCTCGCCCGGAAACGACTGAATGTGATGAAATGATGCCAAGGGTCGGTGCAGAGAGGCAGTGGAGTCGATCCTGGAGACGGGCCTAGCATGGCCTGTTGGGCTGTGCGCTCAGTCTGTTTGGTGGTCAACAGGTTCAAAGCAAGCACAGTATTGGGGATTTAATCAGGGAGTACGATGTGCTTTTCTGCATTGAGAGAATGACAAGCAGTAAGAAAGCGAATCGTTGGCAGACAACTTGCCAGTCCATTGCTCACCGCCCTTCTGTTTCAGTAACCGTCACGGCGAGATTTTGCGGCCAAGGATAAGATTCATCTTTGTCCCAGAGCCGCGCCTCCTGGTAAGCATATCAGCACGGAGTGGTACATACGGATCCTCACGTTTGTGATGGAGACGACCGGTGAACTCAGTTGCCATGCCGGCCATCGCAAAGGCCGGAGGACGACGCTGTCTTGACAGTGGCGTGCGACGCAAAAATGCAGTACAGTGTAGTTCAGTCCGGGATACAGCCTCCCATCGGAGTAGTAGGTGTCCGAGCATCCGAATTCATGCATGAGACATAGAGCATAACGCACTGGAAGTGTTCACAGGTAACGTAGCTTGGTGAATCTAAGACATGGACTCAGCACTAATGACCGCCAGATACAGGCTAATTACTGTAGGGTCTGATGCGCCCGATGCGTCCGATGCGCCTTCCGGCGAAGTCCGGTCTGCTCTGGCTTCAACCCCACGCATAAGCCTCTTGAGTCTTCAGCGCTTCAGCCCAATAGAAAAATTGCCGCCGACAGCCGCTCTACTTCATACCTCTTTCGCGCATAATCTGAGATCTCGCTTTAGACATACTGGACAGTCTACGAAGACGTTCATAAAGGCAAAGTTGGCCACACAATGCTCGCAACGCCTGTACGATGTCTGGTCGACAAGGGTCCCGCAGAGAAGAGGTTTGGATCACTCTTGGCGCACAAGGGCCTCCTGGGAGATAGCGGTAGATACACTGCAGCGCTCAGTGAGCAGACACGTATTACTGTCGTATCTGCACGCGCCTTGGGATTGCAGCCAGTGCACCCCTTTCTGCAGGGAAGCACACAGCTGAACGTTACCGTAGTAGAGGCTAGTTATGGGTAAGTGGGCCTATCAAGTGACGGGCCTGAGTGCCAGCTCGGTGGCATCTGGAACCGAGCTGTCGCCACCTCACTACAGGTCGCGGGTATTCCTAGTAGTCTTCACTCCTCAAAGGGGTTTACAGTAAATATATAACATGGCGAGGTCAAGACTCGTCTGCCGTTACCGCGCATTTCTCCACTCTAGTTAGAATACCCACAAGTAATGGTCCAGCTCACTTTCACGAACTGGCTCTCCGAGCAGTGGGCACGCCTTCCGCCGCCGCTCGAAGCTGACCTTACAGGCAAGACTGTTGTCGTCACAGGGTCCAATACTGGAATTGGGCTAGAGGCTGCTAAGCACTTTGCGCGGATGAAGCCGGCGCGGCTTGTCGTGGCATGCAGGAGCGAAGAGAAGGGCAAGGCTGCGCTTGAGCGTGTGTTCTTTATCTCTCAATGGACTGTACCGCTTAATGCTGAGTTCCAACCTTCTTTTTAGATATCGCTGAGAAGACGGGCTACGCCGCAGAGCTGCAGCTAGTTGATTTTGCGAGTTTTGCGTCCGTGAACGCCTTCGCGGCGAGGCTCAAGGACGACCCGGTGGACATCCTGGTCGCCAACGCCGCCATCGCGGAGGCGGAATTCTCGTTGACAAAGGATGGTTGGGAACGGGCGTAAGCTGACTTTGCTTTACTCAATCACAAACATAATCTGATCACATGACCAGGCTGCAGGTCAATTACCTCTCGACTGCGCTACTCTCGTTCCTCCTCCTGCCGAACTTGGTTAAGGCTGCACATGAACACAAGAGTCACTCCCGACTGGTACTCGTCACAAGCGAGTTGCATTTCTTGACACACTTCGGGGACGAGCTCAAGTCCGCACCGAAGGGTATCCTCCGCACGCTAAATGACCCGGAGTATTGCACACCAGAACGCTTCACCGCGCGCTATCAAGAGACCAAGAGTGCGTACATATTCTACGCACGTGTCTCATGCCAGCTGACAGCCGTCAGTACTTGTTATCATGTTCGTGCGCGCGCTCGCTGAGCGCCTCGGTGCCTCGATGCCTGTCGTGCCAAACAGCGTAAACCCAGGCTTCTGCTATACAGGGCTACGAAAAAACCTGTGGCTCTCGCAGCAACTGCTTATGGCACTTGTGGACGTCACGGTTGGGCGGAGTGCGGAGCAGGGCGCGCGCCAGCTCCTGCATGCTGCGCTCGGGCCCGATGGCAAGGAAGACGCGCACGTTGAGTATATGCGTGGCGCATATGTGAGCTGTCATGCTGTGCGCGAGCCTAGCGACTTTGTGATCAGCAAGGATGGGGCACGAGGTGCAGGATAGAATTTGGGTAAGTTCTTTGACGGAGAGGACTTTGACATCTGACGCTGACTCCGGTTCGTAGCGCGAGACCATCGATATATTGGCAGAGGTATCGCCCAACGTTCGAAGTCTAGTAAAAGAATATTTAGATTAATTCACTCGCTTGCTGTATCACATGACTGCATGCATCCCAGGGTTCACAGCAGCGGGTACGCTCAGGTATCTTGAAGACGTCTATAAAGTAGCCGCCGGCCGTTCCGGTGATCGCCGGGCGTTGCGCAGCGCAGCCTTCGCCCGCTTTTTGCTCGGACTTGCACGACGCCAGACCAGTATGCTTATCACGGTGACCAGGATATCATATGTAGAAGCAAATAACAACAAGGTCTATGAGAGCTCTTAGCAGAACTCATCCGCAATTTGCCGCACCTCCGGGGCCGCCTCTGCAAGGATGTCCAACGTCTCTCGCTGTCGCGCATACTGTCAGCCTTCCTCACCGGCAGAGCAGGTCCAACGCACTCACCCATATTCTCTCTTGCAGCTCTACCCCTTCTCTGCTGATAACGTAGTCCCCCGGCTCGGACACCTCGCTATGTGCGACGTACATGCCTCTCAAATATCGACTATGATTACCATCATGCCCGTCGGGGCCCAGCGCCGCGTACAAGATCTGCCGCGAACCCTGTTCGGCAGTCCGTCCGAGTGTAAGTTCCATGAGCTTGTACATGACTCGGGTCGAGAACGCGAAATTGCGCCGCAGCTCGGAGACACAGTAGCCTGGGCAGGCGCACGCAGGGACAAGCGGTGACGTCGCTGGCATGTGCGCGGCAAGTGCGCGAACGAAGAGGACGTTGAGCACTGGCACGGTGAGCGGTTAATTGGTTTTGAATTGGCGAGAGGCGGACGGGTCAACGTACGCTTGCTATCATTATATCGCGTCTGAAAACGCCCCGAGGTGCAGACCTCAGGACTGTTCAATGCGCGTAGGAGGTTCGGCTTAGATGAGAGATCCTCGTCAAAGCGCACCCCCATATGCAATCCACTCGTAGTGATAACAAGCCGCGGATGGCTGTTGTGCACTTGTGCCGCCTTGTACATGTTGGGCAGGAGGAGCAGGCATACGAGCGCAGTGGAAAGGTGGTTCACTTGCAGGCTGAAAACATTGTCAGGTCTAGAAGCTCTTCACATGTATTTTCGCCACACTTACGCCTGCTCCCATCCGTCTTTCGTAGTGAGATACTCGGGCTGCGCGATAGCTGCGTTTGCGACAAGGATATCGACCGCGTCGTCTTTCAAGTGTGTAGTAAACGCCTTAACCGACGCAAAGTCTGCAAGATCAACCAATTGCAACTCGGCGCTGTATCCTGTCTCCCGCGCAATATCTGGTAGCCACACAGATATTCACAGGAATTATATCGTCAGCGCATGCACTCGAGCGGTTCGGCGCTTGGGTCTACTCACATTCGACAGCAGTGCGTCCCTTAGCCTCGCTTCTACACGCGATGATCAGCCTCTCAGGGCGCATCTGCGCGAAGTGCTTCGCGGCCTCGAGTCCAATGCCCGTGTTGGCACCGACGACAACGACAGTTTTTCCCGAGAGGTCGGCGTGCAGAGGTGCCGGAAGATGTTTCCACTGGCTAAGCACGAACGACAGGAAGGTGGGTTGCATGTTTACTGTGTATGATTTGAGAGGGCATACTGAGCCTGTGCCGGTGGCTATATATGCTGCGAAGAACCTCGCAGGCCTGGCTGACGATTGTTTGTGGCTCGCTCGTAATGCTGCTGAGAGAGTTGTGTCCTTACAGAACGAGATTCAGCCCATTTGCGTACGCCTTTCCCTTCGGCGAGGCTACCATCATTACAGTCGGAGGTTCGCTAATTACGCATGCAGTCGGCTGGACGGCTCCGGCAAAGTTGGCGCCCCATTCTTGGTAATCTGCCTTCTCCTGTGTACATCTGCGGACAAAGATTCCCGCATCATGGGGGAGAACGGTGACCACAATTATCACCGGGGGAATTGGCGGGTCCGGCTGGTTCGTTTGACCATTGCTGCGAGCGAAATCCAACAATTTCGCGTATGCGGCCCAAATACAGAGACCGAGTCGGCAAATGCGAGAGGTCAATTGATCGGACGATGAAAATTCAGAGATCTAAGTGACTTCAGATAATTTGACAGATTGTGCCAGTGAGATCCCAGTCATCCCACCACCAGAGATACGGCCATCTCTATAATCTAACGGAAAATCTAGATGACGACTGATTTCGCGCTGTTCTCCGGCTGCCTGCTTAGTCAATTTGCCACCCCGAAGCAGCCCGGACTCGGACGAAGTGGAACAGAACTGCGTGGCGTCTAGCGCCTGCACCGCAAATACTCAGTACAGCTCACGCCTGGGATTCTCGTGTTGGATAAGTTAGGCAACGATGCGCGAGATTCAAAATTCCAAATATATATATATATGATTAGTCGATCGTAGGGATGTGGCAAAATATCTAGCCGAACAAAGGGCGTCGAAATATCGAGAGAGGGCAGTTGGCCAAGTCGAGCAGCCTGAGGACGCAGAGCGTAACGGGGTTCCTTTAAGCAACTAAATTAACTGGTCAAATGGTTCACTATCGCAGCTGATATGCTGTCACGCTCGGCGTTGCCATCCCACAACGAAATTTGAGAGTTTTTAGCAGAACTCATTCACAATCCTCCGCACCTCCGGAGCCGTCTCTGCAAGAATGTCCAACGTCTCTCGCTGTCGCGCATACTGTCAGCCTTCCTCACCGGCAGAGCAGATCCGATGTACTCACCCATATTCTCTCTTGTAGCTCTACCCCTTCTCTGCTGATAACATAGTCCCCCGGTTCAGACACCACACTATGTGCGACGTACACGCCCCTCATATATCGAACGTGATGGCCATCACGCCCGTCGGGGCCCAGCGCCGCGTACAAGATCTGCCGCGAGCCCTGTTCGGCAGTGCGTCCGAACGTGAGCTCCAGGAGCTTGTACACAACTTTGTCCGAGAACGCAGAGTTACGCCGTATCTCAGAGACACAGTAGCCTGGGCAGGCGCACGCAGGGACAAGCGGTGACGTCGCTGGCAGATGTGCGGCAAGCGCGCGGATGAAAAGGACGTTCAATACTGGCAGAGTGAGCTAGTTATTATGTTTGATTTGGCGAGAGAGGGGCGGGTTAACGTACGCTTGCTATCATGATACCGCACCTGGAAACGTTCCGAGGTGCAGAGTTCAGGACTGTTCAATGTATGTAGGAGGCTCGGCGTGGATAAGAGGTCCTCGCCGAAGCGCACTCTCATGTGCAATCCACTCGTGGTGGTAACAAGCCGTGGATGGCTGTTGTGCACTTGTGCTGCCTTGTGCATGTTGGGCAGGAGGAGCAGGCATATGAGCGCAGTGGAAAGGTGATTGACTTGCAGACTGGTGTCGCTGTGAGATTCAGAGGTTCTTCAAGCTCGCATGTATGTTCGCTGCACTCACGCCTGTTCCCATCCGTCTTTCGTGGTGAGATACTCGGGCTGCACGACACCCGCATTCGCGACAAGGATATCGATGGGGTCGTCCTTCAGCTGCGCAGCGAATGCTTTTACCGACGCAAAGTCCGCAAGATCAACTGGCTGCAGCTCAGCGCTGTATCCTGTATCTCGCGCAATATCTATTTTTTGAAATTTATTTTAAAAATTAATGATAATAATAAAAGATATCATCAGTGCACGCACTTAAGCAGTCCGGCGTGTGGGTTTACTTACGTTCAGCAGCAGTGCGCCCCTTTGCCGAGCTCCTACATGCAATGACTAGCCTCTCAGGGCGCATCTGCGCGAAGTGCTTCGCGGTCTCGAGCCCGATGCCTGAGTTGGCACCGACGACAACGACAGTTTTTCCCGAGAGGTCGGCGTGCAGAGGTGCCGGAAGACGTTTCCACTGGCCGAGCACGAAAGACATGACGGTGGGCTGCATGTTTACTGTGTGTGACTCGAGAAGGCATATTGAGCCTGTGCCGGTGGATATATATACTGCGGGGAAGTTCGCAGGCCGTGCGCGCTCGTTATTCCAAGGCTCGCGTACGTTATCCCACCGGCGAGCTAGCAATAAATGTGCATCTCTATCATCGGAGGCGAGTTATCCGTGGGAGGTTACACCGCATGCAGGCCCAGGCGCCCCATTCCTGATAGTTCGCCTTACTACATTTGCGGGCAAAGATTCCCACACATAGCGGCCTGGGTAAAGCCACGAATACTGGTTTGACTGAATGTTGGGCGTTCGCTTGACCATCGTACGTATCAGCGACCTTGAACGATTTCAGATAGGTTAGATATGCAGATATCTCTGCGAACACAAGAGCATAAATTTGAAAAGTCAATTGACCGGACGATGAGAGTCCAGAGGCGCATCAGGAAAGTGTCCAAACGTCTTGACCATCAATAATCTGACGGATTGCGAGATCCCACCAGAAATACGCTTATCTCTACATGAATCTTCGGTAGCGACAGAAGATCTGGATGGCGACCGGTTTCGCGCTTTTCTCGGGCTGCCTGCTGCATGTTGTCTGACCCGAAGCGGCCTGGCTCGGACGACGCGGGATAGGACTTCGTGGCGTCTGGCGCTTGCACCGCGGAGCGAGAAAAAAACGGGAGCAGCCCCCGCGCCCAAATACCCCCAGTTCATGCCAAATCCGCGTGTCGAATAAGTTATGCAAGATGCGCGAGATTCAAACATTTCGATTAGTCGACCGTAAGGATATGGCAAGATATGAGCAAATAGAGGGCACTGAAATATAATATCGGGACGGCACAGTCGGGAAGGCGCCGAGCGTGACAAGACTACTTTAAACTAATCCGACTAGGTGCAATATTCCTTCACTATTCTCCGAATGTCGGGCGACGCCTCTGCCAATATATCGATGGTCTCGCGCTAGAAGCGAGAGTCAGCGTTTCGAACTTCAGGCGTGTTCTACGGACTCACCCATATCCTCTCCTGCACCTCGTGCCCCTCTTTGCTGATTACAAAGTCGCTTGGCTCGTGCACGGCGTTGCAACTCACGTACGCGCCGCGCATGAATTGTATGTGTTCACCGTCCTTCCCGTCAGGCCCAAGAGCGGCGTGCACGAGCTGGCGTGCGCCTTGCTCCGCGCTGCGCCCGAGTGTGAAGTCCATGACGGCCATCATGAGCCGGCGCGACAGCCAGAGGTTGCGTCGCAACTCTGTGTAGCAGAACCCTGGGTTCACGCTGTCGGGCACGACAGGCACCGCGGCGGGGAGGTGCTCTGCGAGCGCGCGCGCGAACATGACGTTGAACACTGGGTGTAACAGGACTGTCAGTGGTGTTGTGCGATGTAATGTGCGTGGGATGTGCACGTACTCTTCGTCTCGGGATAGCGCGCGGAGAAGCGTTCTGGTGTGACATACTCCGGGTCGCTTAGCGTGCGAAGGATGCCCTTCGGTGCCGACTTGAGCTCATCATCGACCCGAGTCGTGAAGTGCATCTCGCTCGTAACGAGTGCCAGCCGAGAATTGCTCTTGTGCTCTTGCGCGGCCTTGACGAGGTTGGGCAAGAGGAGGAAGGAGAGCAGTGCGGACGAGAGGTGATTGACTTGCAGGCTAGCGCTAGACTCAGATAACATTCATGAGCGAAAGAGTGTGAAGTCCACCTACGCCTGCTCAAAGCCATCCTTCGTAAGAGAGAAATTCGACAGCCCGACGCCGGCATTGGCAACCAGAATATCGACTGGGGCGTCCTTGAGCCTCGCGGCAAAGGCTGTCACGGATGCAAAGTCCGCAAAGTCGACGAGCTGCAGCTCAGCAGCGTAGCCTGACTTCTGGGCAATATCTGCGCCAGCAACGTCTTAAAATCAGCACTCGACGGCTCGGCCTATCAGAGATTCTGGACCCACGTTCAAGCGCAGCCTTGCCCTTGTCCTCGCTCCTGCACGCTACGATAAGCCGCGCCGGCCTCATCCGCGCAAAGTGCATCGCAGCCTCCAAGCCGATACCTGTGTTGGATCCTGTGACGATCACAGTCTTGCCCGTGAGGTCGACTTGGAGCGGCGGCGGGAGGCGGGTCCACTGCTCGGAGAGGAAACTCATGAAGGTGAACTTGCCCATCGCGTGTAGATAGTCCAATCGAAAGGAAGAATTGTGGGAATCAGGTTCAAGCCCACCATGTTATATACACGCAGAATTTGCCCTGAGAACTGAGAGCTGAGAACCGATCAGCGGTTGCTCACAAACCGTGAGGTGACGACAGCACGGCACCGGATAACACTAGCTAGGCAACTTGCGCCTAAGCGAGCCTGCTGACTCAAAGTTCACTAGTGTCCGCCATAATGTTTAGCTGTGCGCACTTACGTGCGACGAGGGGCTGCATTGCCCAGCCGCGCGTGCGGCGCGCGGAAACTCCGAAGGAGGCAAGCGTGCGCGTCCGTCCGGCAGCCTCTGGAAAGGCATGCCGAACTGCGGTTGCCTGCATGTGATCATTTCTTCTTGTCCTCCTTAGGACCCAGGAGTGATCGCGTATTATTCGACGGATTGTCCATTAGCGACCCTCGTTACGAGCACCTACGCGGATGCGGCGCTTGCGACATACTACCCCCTAAAGCTCTAGATCTAGCGTCAGGAGGCTGTCGTCGTCGTCGTCGTCGGCTTTTCATCGACGATGGCCAGGAAATGTAAAACGTATGACAAGAGGAGTTTGCAAGCGTGGAAAGGCGTATCAAACGCACCAAACCTTAATCATCCACTCTTACCTCTTGGAGCCAGAACAACCACACGCTAGATTTTGGCGAACTATTCATATCCAATTTCTCTTTAACATAGTTACGGATACACACAGTATTCGAACGTACAGTAGAGGGTGTCACGATGACTCCGAAACAAGGGGCGGATGGGAAAGCGGGTAAGCATCTGCGCGAATAAAGCTTGAAGAGATGCAGATAACATGCGAAGGAGAAACGAAGGACGGAGGAAGACGAGGCGACGAGGCAAAAGAGCGGGATGCGTGCGATGCAGATTAGAGACACACGATTGGAATGCAAGGACAGACAAGGAATGGAGCTGGAGGCGTACAGTATAAGGCAATACATACGAATAAAGTATAGCGGGACAACGGAAAGCGGTACGCCAGAGAGCACTACGCGTCAGGCAGGGCCTCAATCGTTCCCATCACAGACGAGATATTCGACAGCATGCTCGACCGCGCGCTGTAGAACGCTGTTGAGCGCACCGTATCGCCCTCCCAGCGCTCCTTGATCTCGCCCAGTGCCACAGCGGGGCCGCCGCGCGAGTATACGTCGTGCGACGTCGTGCGCATGTGCTGCAGGTGTGCGTCGGCGTCAAAGCGTACGCAGAGCGCTGAGTCTGAGTGCGAGGAGCGCACACGCGGCGGCGCGTTCAACCGCGCGAGAGACGGCGGGTAAGGCTTGTTGTCGAATGAGAAGCCAAGCGCGGAGAACTACAGGAAATAATCAGTACCGGTGTCAGAAGCAGGAGGGAGAGAGCACGAACCTCGGACGACAGAACAGGCAGCTGATGGTGTCTCCAAGTTTCGTCAAGCTCGACAACCTCCTTCGGTGGGCTAGACCCTCGCGGTGACATCGGCCACGCGGGCCGAGTCGGCTCAGAATCCATGCCACTGAGTGCGAAGCGCGGACCGCGTGCCCAGCCGCCGTTACTGCGTGAGAGCATGCCATCCGGGCAATTAATATTGTCGTCCGGGCGGTCCAGCTCGCTCACGACGAACTCGCTCTCAGCGTTTGTCGGAGACTTAACGAGACCAAGGAGGGGCGACATCGAGCTGAAGGCAGAGGCCGCCATTGGGAAGGGCGATGGTGGACGCTCGGCATTCAAGAGGGCCGCGACGCACAGTGAGCTCTGCGACTTTCGCTTGCGCAGACGAGATGGTGATGGCGGTGGTGAGATAAACTCTGTACGAAGAGGCATCGGACTAGGCGGCAGAGGTATGTTGGGTGGCGGACCAGGCGAAGGCGGAATAGGCGAGCTGACAGATCTTCGCGACAGCGTCGGGGAGAACGGAAGGGGGACTATGTGCGCGGAAAAGTCGCTTACGTTGGGCAGCGTGGCATTCTGCCTGAGACCTATCGGCGACCAATCTGAGTACGGCGTGGGCGAAGGTGACGGCGACAGAGAAGAAACGGTCATTGCCGGTGTTGGGAATACAAATGGCCTGTAGTCCATGTAAGGGCCGTCAACTTCCGTGGGAGAACACGGCTGGTCGTCCAGCCCGCTGGTCAGCGGAGTGATTGTGTCACCACTGTTGGTGTGCATGTGACCACTGCCACTTGACCTTTTCCGCATGGGCCGCAAGAGAGCGTTCCTTCCGAGTGGTGGCTGTGTTGACTTTGACGAAGAGTCTAAAGTCTCAAATGGCATCGGAGTCCGGGAACGCGGGACCTCGATGTCGCTTTTGGCGAAGGGGTCCTCCTCAGGAGTTAGGACGCGGTCGACGGCCATAGCGTCCACCGGAGAATCCACGCTCATCCGGCAATCAGACGCGACACCGGGAAACGAGCTTGAGTGGGGTGTTGGCGGCAGAGAGCCTGTACCAGAAGAAAACATGGATGTGTCAGATGAGGAAAGAGTGGACTCATTTGACGAGCTGGTAATGACTGAAAGGTTAAGCTTCGACCGCGAGCGAAACATGCTTGCTTTCAGAGACCGAGGAATAGCCTGAATAATGCGATCGGCGAGTGTCTGAGTCGACTTGGCAGTCGCCTGTTGTATTCATGTTAGCGTATGTCCAGCAGGTACAAGCCATAATATAACTCACGGCCGAATGAATGCTCGCTGAGCCGTCCCTTCGTTGGGAGACATACGACGGAGCATTCGGCAAGCGTTCACCATCCTCGAGACGCCACACCTCCCGTGCAGGAGATGTAGGGGTGGGAGGTGGTGGTCTCGGGTTCGTATATGGTTCCGGGCACCACGCCGGCAGTTCGCCTTCTTCAAACTCGATTGACATGCTTGAAGCTACAGTGGGAGAAGGAAGGAAGGAATCCGCGATGGAACTTGCTCTAGAGTGTTTCCTGTTGTGTTCTGATAACAAGTTAAACGAGCGAGACTTGTTGAGAGGAGGCAAACGAGTGTGTACGCGGAGAGACGAGTCAGCAGTCGATAGCTGAGAAGACGTCCGACCCCTGGAGGAAGAGAAGGAGGAACCAGTGTTCCGTCGCATGGAAATGAGGTCTCCAAGCAGTGTAGGAGCAGGGCTTTTGCTGCGAGGCACCAGGGGCGACGGGGTACGTGCTGAGCGGGGCCCATCGCGGTAAGAATGCTGCGGTATCTTCAGAACGTTCAGAGGGAGCGAGCTCGTTCTACGTCGCGCGACGGAGACCTTGACACCGAGCTCGACATTCGGACCTGGGACGCCCCGGAGGGTGCTCAGCGTTGAATTGTCGCCCCTTGATGGGAAAGGGAGACGCTGAGACTGAGAAACGGCGTTATGCCGTGATGGAGAGCGCGCGGAGGAAGTGGAGGTGGACGTCCAGGGAGCGAGGGTCGACATTGACGCTGGAATGTGTCCATTGCTGACAGAGCCATGCGGCGTATGGGATGGCCGAAGCATGAGAGCAGAAGCGCGATCCCGGAGCGACTTGAGCACGCGTCTCGTTATGCCGGGGCGCGACGAAGGCTCGCCGTGCATAGGGGACGTTGAGGGAAGGGTGCGGTGAAGGCTGAACGCACTAGATGACTGTGACCTTGGTCGGTGGAACCGAGGGCGGTCGTCCTCGATGGCGTCTTCAAGGTAGCTCTTGGCCGTTGTCCTACCTGGCAGGGAGATCGCAGACCAGGGGCCTGAGGCTGAAGCATGTGCCGGAGTGAGAACGATAGCTGGTGACGGGCGGTCAAACGCGTTCGACACGAGCTGCTCGAAGTCGCGAACGGAGGAGGAAGGAGCGCGATGGAGGGTGTCGCCGCCGGGGGAGGGATACCGGAAAGCGTGCATTTGAGACGAGATGGGAGGGACGACGACAAGAGCGAGGTCAATGGTGAAGAGGATTAATATGAGAGGAGAAAAAGGGGCGTACGAAACGCAGCCTGAAAAGGACAGAGCCAATCGGAGGGAAGCAAGTCAGGAGAGATTTACTCCCGGCGACCCTGTGTTGAGATAAATCGCCCTAGATTGCCCTCCAAGGCAACTTGCTGTCAAAGGCCAAGTCAACCCAATCTGGCCTTGATGATCGCTGTCGTCTGTATCCTTTTCATTGTTGGACATGTTCCTATTTTCCTGCGCTGCACTTGCACTCAGAGACTCAGGAGTCACACGAGCCAGGAACGGCGCCCCGGGCGATGACATACAAGGCGTTGGTTGGACGTTGCTAGGGCCTAGGCGCGACCGCCCTCAAGCGCTCATGAGTCTCACTACGCTCCGAAGCGTCTCCTCGGCGGCCATCAATGCTCTCCCGAAACAGCCCAAAGTAGAAGCGCTGGAGGGGTCCCAGGGGTCTTTGTTAGGATCAGAGGCTGTTGCCAAATAGACATGTCCAGGAATGGAAAACAAAAAAACACGCTTTCCCGTAGGCCGCCACCAGCTGTTCAGAATGATCGCGTTTGCGTCCTTCGCAGCACCTCCAGACGATTATGACCCGCTGGTAAAAACCAGACACTACCAAGATCTGGATGATGACGACGACATGGACCTCGACCTCGACGATGACGAAGAGTCTGCGTCGCGCAGCAAATCTACGTGCCCTGGCGAGACGCTGACGTCGTCGCATGCTTTCATGCGGTGCGCACACCATCCGAACGTCCGGCCGGCGCTCAGAATGTCTCACCTTACGCAGCGGTCACGGCACCTACGTTGACAACGACGAGGTTGTTGCTTCCGTCGCAGGCACTGTCGAGCGCGTCAATAAGCTCATCTCTGTCCGCGCTGCGCGTACAAGGTAAACGCTGTAAGTCTTTATACACCCCTCTACCGCTGATCGCGAGCACAGGTATAATCCGGAAGTTGGAGACCTTGTGGTCGGGCGCATAACCGAAGTGAGTAATCGATCTCATCAGTATGAATTACATCTCGCCCCAAATTCTGTCGATGGGATCCTTTCAGACCCTGCTGGGCAGAGGGGACCGGCGGTATCTTTAAAAACGGACCTCGCTAGCCCCCTATATGTACTGTCATAATTTTCTGACTGTCGGCCCAGGTGCAACCGAGACGGTGGAAGGTCGACGCCGGCTCTCGCCAAGATGCTGTCCTGATGCTGTCCTCAGTTAATCTCCCAGGAGGCGTCCAAGTATGACTTACGTCCATCCATTGGCTTGAGCGACCAATCACTCATGATGGTCTCAGCGCAGAAAACTCGAAAGTGACGAACTTCAAATGCGGACGTTCTTCGAAGAAGGCGATCTGCTTGTCGCCGAGGTCCAGGCCTTCTTCGCGGATGGCGCCATGTCTCTCCATACCCGGTCGCTGCGATACGGAAAGGTGAGCTCCCGCGCTCCTCTCCGAGTCCCCATTCTCTGACATGGTGTTCAATAGCTCCGCAACGGGCAGCTCGTCGTCGTCCCTCCGGCGCTGATCCGCCGGCTCAAGTCGCACTTTACGTCGCTCCCATGTGGCGTTGACCTCATCCTGGGTCTGAACGGCTACATCTGGGTGAGCAAGCACGTGAAGGAGAGCGAACAGGAGGGCGAGGAGGGCTTCGATGCGGAAGCCGTGTACTCGAATTGCAACGACGCGAGCCTCTCCCTTCTCCCTTCTGTCAATTGCCAGCTGACGTGGGCACTGCGCAGGACATCGACGACGCGACGCGCACCGCGATCGCGCGCGTGAGCAACATCATACGCGTATTCGCGGCACACTTCCACCCGCTCACGGACGCGGTGCTCCTCGAGGCGTACGAATGGGCCGTGGAGCAGGAGTGCAGTGTCAAGGATCTGCTGCAGGAGGACGTCGGCGCTGCGATGGTCGCGGCTGTCAGCGCGCACTCGTAGGGCCTGCCGGCTACTTTACTGGGAGGCATGTGCCTGTCGGTAACGGATTTCCGCGCACCGGCACTCCGCTTCAGGGGTGGCGCTCTCAATAGTTCCGATGTGAGCACGGCACCCTTGCCAGCTTAATGAGGCGCGCCTGTGGTGCGTGTGAACGCTGTGAGCGGAGTCCTGGCCAATCGCGGTAAAGCAACGCACACATCCGATACCCTTGTCAATATTGACTGCGTTGTCCATGACGTCAGCTGGGGGCAAGACTCCGACAGTCACCAAACAGCCTGTGGTTTGGTTTGAAGTGGGCGCGGACGCCCCTATCTCGCCTCGGCCTGTAGAGCACCACAATAATTGTTTGTTGCCATGTAGGCAAAGCTTTTGCTCGGCACAAACTGGATGCAGCTCCGAGAGTCTCAATCGACTGCCACCGACTCATTGAATTAAGACTGCGTTGAAAGACTAAGTTGTAACTTCATTTAAGCACATTCTAACTCTGTCTGTATTGTAAAACAGGAGAAGTCCAAATTTATCTCTTGTATCTCTTGTATCTCTCGCATCTCTCGCATCTTTAACCAGATGGCCTGATAAGTAACTGATTCCTTACTGTCTGTTAACCCCTTACACACCGCCTTGCCCTTTATATACTTAGTGCTGCATGCCCCTGATCGACCACAAGTTTCTTATTACTTCCGCCTACCCCACCACGCTCCAATCATTTCATCCTGCAACGTAACATGTAGCCAAGGTGCTACGTCGCGGGCGGCGAGAACCAGAAGGTCGCCCACGGACTCGATAGCTGAACACATATGTAAATATATATTTTCGAGAGCCTCAGGAGAATGCTACCTGAGTGCCGACCGAGTGCCGACCAAGCAAACACCAACCACGATGACACTCGAGAACAGCCGCCACGAAAACAGCTACCGGGACAACATTAATTGCGTAGCGGAGCGAAGCTATCTCTTGTGTCCATTACATAACCACTTGCAGGCTTTGAGAGCGGACGTGGCTTGAAGCTTGAAGCTTGAAGACCCAGATCGTGTTAAGTTTAATTTGTTAAGCCATGATTCACGCTCCATTCAAAATGAAATGATTTCGAATCAGCTCCTTCACTGAGCTTCATGAACTTTGTCGGTTGGGTCGCTCTCCGTGTATGGTGCCCGGTTAACTATCTTGCAACACATCAGAAATACAGATAGCCTGTGCAGCCGAAACTGAACACTTCAGGACACAATTCCGAGAGTAAGAGATAACGGAAAGAAAAGAATGCAAGAGAAAAACAGGAAAAGAAAATCTAGGGAAGGGCATGGGAGGGAGAGCGCAAGATGGTGGACTCGAAGCTAACGCAGATAGAGGTCAGACGGGACCGAGAGACAGATGAGAGAAAGCTATGAGGAACCCAACGCAGATAGAGGTCAGACGGGACGAGAGGAAAACTCCCCTGTCCCTCGCGGCTGCACTTACACTAGGAGGTTCCTGGTTAGGCACGTCCGCAGCTGATAAAGCGTTGGCGACGTACCTAACATTCCTGAGCGGGTTCGCGTTCGTCCGCTGGTGGACTCATCCTGCAGCGAGCAGAGGAACGGGAGGCCGCGTGGTCGACGGGCGCTTCGAGTCTTCATGGATGCGTGACATTGCGCGTCGGCGGCGTCGCTTCTTTAAACTCGGAAAAAAACAGCTACAGCTAGAATCTTGCGAATAGCAACTGCTGGTTTCGATCCAGCGACCTCGGGGTTATGAGCCCCGCGCGCTACCCCTGCGCCAAGTTGCTGCATGTACGAGGCCCCAAATTAATCCTAGATGTCCATCGCCCGCAGAGGCCGCCACTCTCATCTCGCAGCAGCCTCTGCTACTTATTTGTTTGTTCATTTTCCGAGGGTAGAGCATATGCATGTGTGAAACTCCAAGCTATCTTAGAACCTACGACTCAATTCGTGAGCGCGGGCGATTGCCTGAAGCGGAAGGGCGATCATCAATTCGCCATCAGACACGTAAGTTAGCGACCAAGATTCAGTCTTGTCCAGCTCATCCACTCACCCACTCGACGAGGTCAAAAATGATTTTCGGACGCCTCACCCTCGGTTTCTTGCTGGTCACTGTCGCTGCGTTCTTCTGCGCACAGAATGTCGAGGCTGCCAAGGGCCCCAAGATAACCCACAAGATTTACTTCGACATGAAGCATGGCGACGAGGTCCTCGGTCGCAGTAAGTTCCGCTGGCCCGTTTGTCTCTGGCCTTCTAACCCATGCATGTGTCCGTAGTTGTCGTGGGTCTGTATGGCGGTGTACGTACTTCCGTCTGTCATGCAGAGAGACTGCCTAGACTAACGCGTATCCGAGACAGACCGTCCCTAAGACCGTTGAGAACTTCAGAGCGCTTAGTACTGGTGTGCGCAAGGATGGCACTCCGCTAGAGGCCGGCATGGGATACAAGGGCTCCAAGTTTCACCGTGTGATCAAGAATTTCATGATTCAGGGAGGCGACTTCAGTATGTTTGCAGCCTCGCCTTCTCCGCCGCAGGTCGGATGCTGACCTTGAGCGCGCAGCCCGTGGCGATGGCACCGGTGGCAAGGTATACATCATTTTGGACTAGACCAAGTCAGGTTGCTTACAATCGGGCGTAGTCTATCTATGGTGATCGCTTTGCGGACGAGAACTTGTGCGTACAATGTTCGTGAGTTGGGCGCCCTTTTGCTGACGTTCGCTGCAGCAAGCTCCGCCACACTACCTCCGGTATTCTTTCGATGGCTAATGCGGGCAAGGACACTAACGGTGAGTTCATATCAACGACCACACTGGTTTGACTGACGTGCCTTCGCAGGCTCCCAATTCTTTATCACCACGGCTGTGACCAGCTGGCTCGATGGCAAGCACGTACGTCGATGTAATGTTGAGACTGTAAGAACGCCGAGATTCACCTCGATTTGTCCAGGTCGTCTTCGGCAAGGTTGTTGAAGGCATGGAAGTCGTCACTGCTATCGGTAAGTCGCTCTCTATACCGCAATGAACGTCCCGTTTACCACAAATACAGAGGACGTCGCCAAAGGGAGGAATGACAAGCCCGAAGTTGATGTCATTATTGCTGACTGCGGCGAAGTAAGCATCTACGAGTCTTACTTATAATTCTCTAACCACCGTTGTCGACGTGATCTACAGCTTCCTCTCGATGACCCTCCCACAGATGAGTCTGGAAACGAGGTGCCTCTCCGCGCTGAGCTATAAGTTAGCTGTAGTGCTGATTTATCTGCTCTATCATCTATGTCGTACTTCGAATGGGAATGGAAATACTCGGTTGCTGACACAAATCAACTTGAAACTGTCCGACGGTCGTCCGCTACTTACTGCGGTATACACGTAGATTGAACTTCTTCCGACCACTTCCAAGATCGACATACTCGAAACCACACAGGCCGAGCATGCTCCAACGACTGAGGCGCCGGCGGCCGCTACCGAGATAGCTGAGGAGGTTGCTGAGCCCATCCCGGCGACCCTCGATGAATCGTTACCCGCTACGACCGAGTACATGGGCTATGACGAGCTCGAGGAACTCCAATCATGGTCTCCGGCTATAAACTGGGTCGTCGTCCTTGGCTTCGCCGCGGTATTCGGTGTGCTGCTGTGGTTCCTCGGCGGGAACAGGATTGTGAAGCGTTTCGCTGCCGGGCGGGGTCGGGGCTTGTACAGGCGTGTGAACGAGAATGATGTCGAGAAGCTGGAGGACTAGCAGGTATGTGTGCCTGTCCAGGTCAGTAGGCACTGCAGCACTTTATGTGTGCAGCATAATGAACTTTTAGATGGGAACCCGAGACTATGAGTGAACATGGGTCGTAAGACGAACCACGCTCGAGAGTCGTGCCTTGCTCAGGCCAGTTCACGAGCGTTTCAGTAGTAGAATGCTAGTGGTGTTCGAGCATGTCACAGTTTGGGTTGAGAAATCTGAACAAAAACCTCGCCCCTCTGGACCGGGACGCAGAGAACCAGAGAACAGTCGCTGAACAAATGTGGCCTCTCTATTTCCTTCCGGATCACAGGTCGCACAGCACAGCGCAATTCGACTCTGCACGCGTCCCCGCCGGAGACTCACTGCTGCGTTGCAAGTACTTGTGCCTATGGTATACTACCACCTGCTTTGCATCGCAGATTTGCCATCAGACTCATACATGCCCACGTTGAGTTCATTTGGATCTGCAGTACGCAGATGACGAGCTGCTATCCACGACCAGGAGTGCAACGATACCTCCGGCATCTCCGGCTGATTGATGCTAGCTCATGTCCGGAGATTGGCGAGCGCATCAAACGCGACTTATTGCCCGTCGAGACACGTAGACCACACTCATTACCTGCGCGATTTAAGAGGCTGGGCTCTCCATATGGAGGAAGAGTGGTCAATGCTGTGCGCGATTTAAGAGGCTGGCTTTCGAGTCTAAGGCCTGTCCCCAACCTTCACTCACTCCTCGACGAGGTCAAAATGATATTCGGACGCTCCTCTCTCGGTTTCCTGCTGGTAACTATTGTTGCGTTGTTCTGCGCGTTCTGCGCGCAGGATGTCGAGGCCGCCAAGTCCTCCAAAGCTTCCAAAGCTCCCAAGGCTCCCAAGGTGACACACAAGGTCTACTTCGACATCCACCACGGTGACAAGGATCTCGGTCGCGGTGGGTCTAACTGGTCTAGTCGTTTGTCTGCAATGCACTCATGTGTGTACCTGCAGTCGTCCTGGGTCTCTATGGCGGTGTATGTGCCTATACGACATGAAGAAACATCCGTCACTAACGCGTATCCGAAACAGAGTGTCCCGAAGACCGTCGAGAACTTCAGGGCGTTGAGCACCGGCGTGCGGAAGAATGGCACTCTGCTCGAGTCTGACATGGGATACAAGGGCTCCAAGTTCCACCGCGTGATCAAGACCATGATGATTCAGGGAGGTGACTTCAGTACGTCTGCAGCTCAGTTTTCGCTGTCGTCGGTTGGATGCTGACTTGGAGTGCGCAGCGATTGGGGACGGTACCGGCGGCAAGGTACGCGCGAGTTGTTTCGGGCGACATGAGTTACAGTGCTTACAAGTGAGCGTAGTCTATCTACGGCGACTACTTTGCAGACGAAAACTAGTGCGTATTCCTGCGACATCGATAGTGGGGTGCGTGTATGCTGATGTCCGCTGCAGCAAGATCCGCCACACTAGTCCCGGCATGCTTATGATGGCTAATGGAGGTAAGGATTGGAATGATAAGGTTACGCCAGCGATTTGTGACCTCTGACTTGTATGCCATTACAGGCTCTCAGTTCTTCATTACTACAACCACGACCAGCTGGCTGGATGGTAAAAAGGTATGTCCGTGTCATGCTGAGTTGAAGGTGACATTCAAACTCACCATATTCTGTTCAGGTCGTCTTTGGCAAGGTTCTGGAGGGCATGGACATCATTGAGGCTATCGGTTGGTAACTTCCCATGTGATAATACAGACTATACTCACAGCGACTACAGAGAAAGTTCCCACGGGAGCAAATGACAGACCAATGGACGATGTTGTCATCGCTGACTGCGGCGAGGTGCGTTTCCATGCGTCTTTATTTGCAACTCTGCTCACCACGGCTCTCAATATCATGTTCAGCTTCCTGTCCCTAAAACCAAGAAAGCCGTGTCCCCCCGCGCCGAGCTATAAGTTCGGTCATTTATATCTTTATCATCTATGTCCTACGTTGGAATGGGAATGGTTGCTTAGCTTACGTCAACTTGAGATGGCATGACGGCCCTCATTGCACGCCAACATATGCATCCACAAACTGAACTCCTTTTAACGATCTCCTTTTCGGACATGTTCAAAATCAAGCAAACAGAGTACAATCCGGCGACTGCAACCAAGCTTGTCGAGATCGTTTCGATGGCCGACACTCGGCGAGGCCAAGCTTGTCCTAACCGAGTTCATGGGCCACGGGGAGTTCAGTTGTGCGCGTAGGTCGAAGTTTGCGAGAGCAATATGTCTCTCGTGTTGTTTATTTAACAGCATTTGGCGCGGTGTGTAACGCCAGATTTATGAGACGGCTGGGGTTTCAGCCTGACAAATATTGTGGATGGGCGCTCAGCGCCACACGGCCAGTGGCTCAAGCGCTCATTCCTCGTGTTACGCTTCTCCCCCAACACCGTCGTCGCGATCTCGCATCGTCATGCCCTGAACGGCCTGAACAGTTGTACAATACCAACAAGGTACTCAATATGACCTCTAGATATGAATTTTCGTTGCTACATCCTCCAATATACCCGCTGAGTGGCAAAGCTCCCGACGCACATTAACAACCAGCTTCACCACGCACAGAAATGCTCGCACATGCAGCAAAAGCACCATTAATATTGCCTTAAATGTCCAGACCTCCGTCTTCGCCGACTACGTTGAGATTTAACTAATCCACGTCGTGTATCGTTCCGACGTCCTCCTGATAGCCGCAGCAATCGCTTTGCCCACATTCCTATTGGTCTGCTCGGATGGATGCAGTTCGTCATACCTGCGCACTGGGTAAGTGCGTGGCCCAACCACTGAGCTCATATTGACACACCAGAAGTAGCTGTCGACTGCAGGCCCGGTGACAGTCGTACAGTTGCCAGTGTCGGAAGTGTTCTCATTCAGCTTGTAACCGCAGGAATTGAATGGCTCCGGTGATGTTAGGCAGAACTGTCCTGGGTTGGCAAGCATGTCCTCGAAGAAGGTATGAGAGTCGAAGTAGCCTGTGTGCATAGTCGGTCGATTCACCTCAGTAGCATTGGCACGGGCGCACATACCTATGTGGAAGCCTGGCAGAGTCGGAGCGAGGAGTTCGAGCAATGCTCTTGAGAGCGCGTTACCAGCGCGCGTCAGCTCCGTCACGAAGATGTTCCACTCGGACGTGTTCCTTTCAGCTGTCCAGTAGGTGTTGGGGTAGGAATCTGCGGAGTAGAGGATAGTCTTCTGCAGAGGAATCATCTGAACGGCCAGGTAAGTATATACATCTTACGACAGTGTCGATCTTTTACGTTTTAAAACAGGAAGTTCCTTGCTCCACTATCATATAGGGCCTTCACCCAACTCACAGCACAGGCTGTTGTGTTGACCACTGTCGCCCCTGGCGTACCCTCCCCGACGATCAATGAGTTTGCACCCACGTCATTGGTTCCGATCCAAAGTGTGTATATCGTCTCGTCCGGTCTGAGGTGGAGGGTGCCGTTCTCTTTCTCGGCGAAGTAGATAGGTAGTTGGGTCCCGAAGACCGAGGGGAACGGGCGGAACGTGATGTTATTGGAGCATGTCGCGCCAGCCCTCGCAAACGGGAAGAGTACCAAGTTCCCATTTTGTGCCGCAAAGACTGGCCGTGAGATGCCGTGGTCGCCAGTCACCACCTACATAGGTTCCGATGTGAGTGAACGCGTTCTGGCAGACCGTCACTCATATACTCACTACATCCGTGTAAGAATCTCCAAAAGTTACCAAGTTTTTAATCTGCCCTGGCCGCGGTCCTTTCGAGAAGGGTAGCTCGAGCGCGACCGCGGAGGTGGTGGAGGTACTGAGCGCTAGCAGCGCGAGCAATAAGAACACGAAGCCCATGATTGCCGACCAACACTTTTGTCTCCCCCAAACTCGCATTTATATGCAAGTCGGGAACAGTTCACCAAAGGTCATGGGACACACTCGTCGAACATCGTATCGTGGCTCAAGTTTGGTAGCAGGGAGTACAATCGTGCCTAAGAGTATGCGACCGCGCCTGAGACGCATACTGGTCTCGCCTCCGACGATACTCTTACGGTAAAGCCTGTCTTCTTAGTCGTAACTACGTGATCTTGTCCCACGCTGCACGACCCAGCTGCACTCCATCGTACAATGATTGGTCGGCGATAGCTCCCGCTGCTCGCCAGCTGATCTGGTATACCCGGACCGTAGAGACGTGGTCAATTTTAAAGCGAATGGGATGGGATGGTTTCGAGTCAGCTCACGGTGGCTGCAGGGGTGGACGCGTGGACGGCTTTTCCGCTGATGCCGCAAGTTTAGCCACGAGACGGCTCGGACGCTTTTACTTGCTGTCACACATGGCAGCCGAGCCAAGTCGTTCGGCTCGACTCGGCGGCTCGCAGCCAGCGCAGCCAAAAAGGTAAGTACTAGTGCTGCATCGGCCCACTCACCGCTGGCTCCCTGCATCAGAGTGCACAGTTATGTCACCAGAACAAGGGAGGGTAAGTCGATTGCACCAACGAGAGTTACGAAGCAATCTTTAGTAAGCGCTTATGTGCGGAGCATCCTCATCATCTTATCTTATCTTGAAGATGGATAAGATGACAAGGGTGACCGCAGTCTCCATGAAGAATCTCTCGATGCCAGCTTCAGAGAAGAATTGATCAACTAAGCGACCAAAGTTGTCAGTGTGCCTCCCAATATCCTCCGGAATCTTTCAACATGACACAAGCACTCGAGGCGTCAACGTTCACTTTGCAAACTTCGGTACCTCTGCGGGCCATCCTTGCAGATCTGGAGCCAGGCGTCCGCCTTAGAGCTGCAATGCCGGTCGCCCTACCCGAGTATGAGCGCTCGGGTTCCGCTTCACGTGCGACACGACTGGGACTATTTTATCCAGGCGGTCAGCCCATGTTGGCGCCGGAGGGCTTGTTAGGGCCTTCTCCCCAGTTCCTTTCTGCTCTTGCCCTACCTTCTACAATTTCGCGAAAATTTGGATTTCATGGCTATATAGTCATGCATTGTGATGCATTATGAAGCTCACTTTTCCGCTACGAATTGCGTAGCTCTAACCATACGGTAATCCCGACCCAGCGCAAACGCCACGAGGCGAGGTTTCCCGGAAAGGAAGGCTGTCCATCTCTCTCCAAGTGACCACCACCGACAATTCTTGACAATTCTCAAACCATATTCTCTGTTCCGGGTAGCCTTAATATCGCGCGAATAGACTACCCATAGCTCAGGGAACATGTTGAAATTGTTGCAGGAAATCCTGGGAAGGCGAAAAGAGGTTAACTCGCTCTTCAAGGAAGAAACCGGTATGATCCGGAGCCATCTAGGCATTGGATCAGATTGCAAGGTTAGAATCAAAGAGTTCATTATGCCATTATGCATTACGCCCGAACAGCTACTATTTCTGTCAATGGTCGGCAAGTAGTATGCAACCATATATGTCTGGTCCATTTGTCCTTGATGGATGGCATACCTGCGATATGTATAGCACGAGATAAGGCACATTCTACCATAACATACACCGTACGCAACCCGTCAGGCTCCTTTAACATTAGCTGAACCAAGTTGTGTACTGCTCAGACGTCCTCTTTGCAGCGGCAGCGATGGCTTTCCCAACATTCCTGTCCGTCTGCTCGGACGGATGGAGCTCGTCGTACCTTGGTACGAGCATAAAGGTGAGCTCATATCCTAGTTAAGCCAAGATTAATGAGCTTACCAGAAGAAGCTGTCCCTGGCCGATCCTGTCGCCACTGTACAGTTACCTGGGTCAGAAGTACTCGCGTTCAGTGCGAAGACACAATGGTTGATGGCTCCAGTCGTGTTCGGAGGTACTGTTCCATTCAAGAATTTGCCCGGGTTGCTGAGCATGTCCTCGAAGAACTGGTAGGAGTCGAAATAGCCTGCAACATTAGGAAAACTATCAGCTCTGCGGTAGGCTCAGTCTCTGTTTAGAACACGCACCGACGTGAGCACCTGGGAGTGTTGGTGCGAGTAGCTCAAGAAGAGCCCGCGAAATTGCATTGCCGGCATTCGTCAATTCTGTCATGAAGACACTCCATTCAGTCGTATTGCGCTCCAGCGTCCAGTACCGGTTCGGGTAAGAGTCAGCAGAGTAGAGTATGGTTTTCTGCAGCGGGATCATCTAGACGAAGTCGGGTCAGTCACTATGTTTGCCACGTATTCAAGGACTGCTGACATTTTGGAATAGGAAGTTCCTCGCGCCACTCTCATACAAGGTCTTCACCCAGTTGACCGCGCAGGTTGTGGTGTTAACAACTGTTGCCCCCGGTGTACCTTGACCGACTATCAATGAGTTGGCACCGACGTCGTTGGTTCCGATCCACAAGGTGTAGATGGTCTCCTCTGAGTTAAGGCGAAGAGACCCATTGTTGACCTCCGTGAAGTACAGGGGAAGCTGACTCTCGAACACAGAAGGGAATGGCCGGAGAGTAATATTGTTGGAGCATGTCGCCCCAGAACGGGCGAATGGGAAAAGCTTGAAGCCACCGTCCTGGGCAGCAAAGATAGGCCACGCGGTCGCATTGTCGCCTGTCGAGACCTGCATACGGAGAGCATCGTCGGTGAGCATCGGTCATTCTTCGACATGCGACACTGTGCTTACGATATCTGTGTATGAGTCGCCGAAGGTGACCAGATTTTTTATCTGCCCTGGCAGAGGGCCACGCTGAGCGGCGGACACGAGTCCTACTGCAGCCACGAGCAGAGTGAAGGAGAAAGTGATCATCTCTGTGGTGTGTAAGCGATGTCGAGGAACGTCCCATGGACTTGCCTTATAACTCTCTCAGATAATGACGAGGTCCGCGAGGATGCCGAGTAACTCACCGCATTGGCGACTCTTACCGCGAGGATACTTCTTTTCGCCAATTATTACAACACCTGACCTACCCTACATATGCCTTATCTTCGGCGTCGCATCCAGTAACGCTCTTGCCGCTCAAGGAGGAGCTTCTGCGCAACCTCTGTTGCCATTTGTGTATTCGATGGCTGCTATCACCGGTCCACTTCTCGAACCGAAGCTCTGTACTGGCCATCGTGCTTGGCAGGTGATCTGCCCGGCTCCCGGTGTATTGACGGAGCAGTCTGGAAGCTCTACTTGTGACCTGGACAACTGGTCTGCGGCCTACGTAACGAACCAAACTTAGTCTTAACTTCACGCGGCTTTCAACCGCTTCTTTTACCGGCGGTTTAAGAAGGTTGATCTCGGATTAATGAACTTGGAAAGGCAAGTATAGTATTGATCCCATACGATGTAAGGGCAATGACTGCGAGCTCACACTACAGATTAGATCAGCCTAATCGCCGGCCGTTTGTCAGGATAACATGTGGCCCAATGACTGCGATTGATGCTAGCAATGAAAGCTAGTCCGTCCAGGAAGCCCAGAGTATTCAAACCTTTCCTGCGTGAGCCATCTGCGACTAATGCACACTGGTCGTCAACCGGATTGCAGGTGAATTCGAGGCGAGTGGCACATTACACAATGTTATAGTAATGGCCGGATGGGTGTTCCCTGTCACCTCGTCATCATTTTGAGCATCCTCTCCATGAGTTCATTGGCTGACATCAAACACACTGGTGATAGCACTACGCAGCAGGTCAATCCTCTCAGCGGCCGCATTCCTTGACAACCCGAACGAATCCTCAAGAATCGATCACACACGCGTAAGAAGTTGTCAGGCTGTTGTCAAATTGGGCGTCAAAGAGCTTTGTCTTGGTGGGTGTGACAGTGTTTCTTTGACCGCACAGGCTACTTGTGTATGACTACGGGATATATCGAGGCCACTGCTACTGACTATAGGCCACCAGCTACGGAACGCAGCCTCGCGTGCTTCAGCAAATGAAACTGCGCGCCATCTGTCCCACTTCTTTGTTCTGTTCTGTCTTTCGACAAGATCTGTTGTGTGGCACACTTGATGTACCGCTTTCGTTCTGAGGCCGCCCATCCCAGAGTAGCTCATAAGGAGCCACCGTCGGATGAGCTTTCCCCACTCCCATCATCCTTCACATCGTCCCCTCTGCATTCTTCTTCTGCTACCTCAACGATGCCCGTGACCAGGAACCAAATCTCTCACGGCATTCAAGTCTACCGCCATATCATCGCCATCCCAGAGGACTATGTTGAGGTGTACCACCAGCTCGAGTACATCCGCAAGCAGAGGAAGCTTAGGCCGCAAGACGTTCATGCCTGTGCGGTTGATCCAGTACGTGCAATGATTAATCCTGTATACATCCCAACTTGACTGACCTGAGCGCTATAGAACAAAGACGAGGCGGGATGGGCCTGCGCCATATGTGATACACCGGCTTCGAGGGTCTCTTGGAGCCTTCAAGCGGCCAAAAGGCATGATGAGGGCCACGGACACGTCGAAAGAGTGGCGGCAAAATACAACGTAGATCTAGCCAATTTTGGCCGCAAGATATTCTGCGCGCTGTGCCGCACTTGGTATGTAACCCACTCGTGTAAAAAAAAGTCCTTGATTCTTATGTGGCCACTGCAGGATTGTCGACCGCCGCTTCCCGAACAAAGCGGAGGACCATCACAGAAATGTGCATGGGTCGAAGGCACGTGAGCCAACGCCTGAAGAAATAAGTGCTGTACTTCTAGCGTGGTGGAAATCACGCGTGCCGGCGAATCAGACGCGTCCGCGTCATGGTCGAGCCAATCAAACTGTTGGTGAGCCACAGCATGTGAGCCTGCCCTGGGCCGAGGGCGAGGTCTACCCCAGTATCACCTTCCAGGATATCGACACCATGTGCTTGGAAGACTATTACAAGTCGCTGGAGCTCGCCCGCTTGGAGGGGAAACCCTGGCACCTATCGGATGACTTTCTCCAGGCAACCGCGTTCGACCGCTCGAGAACGCCTCTCGGCAAACTTAAACCTTGACGTGGTGGACGAAGACCAGCATGTCAGTCTCTCAAACTCTATTTACTTCTAGACAATACAACACTCTCAGGCTCTTTCTCGGAAGTTCTGCGCAACCCACATGTGATGTCACACCAATCCACTGTAGTAGCTACACTCTGGACTAATCTCATCGTTGACGAAGGGTATCTCCCACTAAATGACCGAAACTTGGCTCAATGCCAATTGTGCTTGACAGCGGACTACAAGATACCAACATCGCGGAAGGGAATAAGACTTTGGAAATCCACGTCTCAGTTACCTA